TTTAAGAGTTTAAGAGTTTTTAAGAGTTTAAGAGTTTTAAGAGTTTTTGCCAAATGCTTTATAATATAGTATAGATATATATATATATATATATATATATATATATATAGATCAAGGTTCAAACAAAAAGTAAAAACACATGTGTTTTATAAAAATACGAGATGGGATAGAGATTGAGGTCCTTGACCCTACCCGGTTTGCCATCACTACTCCCCGGTCACCTTTGAGGATGGCACAGAGATGGGATAGAGATTGAAGAGTGAATGAATGAATGGGATTGGGATCCCCACCCACCTAACCTAATTCCATACTCAATTGAGGACAACACATACCTATTTTCTTCTTCTTGGGCCTCGTAAAATCAATTTCAATTATTGATGATTATTTTATTCATTTTAAAAATGAATCAAAATTCATTCAAAAAAGCTACCACACCAAAAGTAAACTTAATGATTCAAAAGTATAAGTTTGAATCTTTATGCACTTAATAAATTCTAAAAAGTTAAGTTTTTTACTTTTCAAATCATTATTTTTATTAAATAAATCTGTTATTATTTTTTTATTAATTCAACCTATTATGTGAGTCGATTAATTTTAAAATGATCACATGTTTTACATATAGCTCGGAGTCATCGTATTTGAACCTCCATAATCATAAAAGAATTTTTATTCCTTCTTGGATTTGAATCTGAGACCATCTAATACTTTTAATCTTCGAACACAAACTCAAACCAAACAAACTACAACTTTCGTATTGTGTCGCGAATTTTAACGAATCAATTATGTCGTTCATATCGTCTATATATATTAGACTACAACTTTCACCCCAAAATCATTCTATTATGGAGACCATACAGCCACCCAATACAGCGGTGGTCGTCGTACCTTTTCCGGCACAAGGTCATCTCAACCAGCTCCTCCACCTCTCCCGCCTCCTCGCCGGCTACAACCTCCCAATCCACATCATCACCACCACCACCCACGGCCGCCAAGTCAAGACCCGCATCCACGGCTGGAATCCACTTTCCATCCACTTCCACCACTACCCAACTGATCATTTCGACTCCCCTCCACCTGACCCCACCGCCACCGTCAAATTCCCCGACCACCTCATCCCATCTTTCAAATCCGCCATGCATCTCCGTCAACCCTTCGTCGACCTCCTCTCTACCCTCTCGTCGGCGGCCAAAAGGGTCGTCGTCATTCACGACTATCTCATGAGCACAGTTGTTCAAGACGCTGTTTCCTATACCAACGTCGAAACCTATATGTTCACGTGTTGCTCCGCCTTCACTTCGTTTTGGTATAACTGGGAGAGCACCGGCCGGCCAAGTCTCGACGGCGAACTCCAATCGATACTAAAAGAACTCCCTTCTAATGAAGATTGTATGTCAACAGATGGCTTGCAATTCATCCTTTCCATAGATGTATCTTACAAAAGATTTTCATCTGGTATGATTCTTGATTCTTGTCGGGTTATCGAAGGGAAATACATCGATCTACTCGAACAAGAAGAGGCTCGAGATCATCAAAAGCTTTGGGCTCTTGGTCCTTTTAACCCAGTTGCCATAACTCGTGATTCGAGCCCTAATCGCCATAAGTTGTTCGATTGGCTCGATAAACAAGCATCCAACTCGGTTCTATATGTCTCATTTGGCACGACGACTTCGATAAGCAACGAGCAAATCCAAGAACTCGCAATGGGTTTAGAACAAAGTGAGCAAAGATTCATATGGGTCTTGAGAGATGCCGACAAAGGCGATATCTTCGACGGCGAGGTCAGGAAAATCGAATTGCCGAAAGGGTTCGAAGAGAGGGTGGGAGAGAATGGATTGGTGGTGGTGGATTGGGTGCCACAGCCAGAGATCTTGGGACATCCGGCGACGGGAGGGTTTATGAGTCACTGTGGGTGGAATTCGAGCACGGAGAGCATCACGATGGGTGTGCCGGTGGCGGCGTGGCCCATGCATTCTGATCAACCACGGAATGCTATGCTTATAACTAAGGTGTTGAATATTGGGATATATGTGAGGGATTGGACGCGAAGGGAGGAGTTGATAAGTTCGACGGTGGTTGAAGAGGCTGTTAGAAAATTGATGGCGTCGGAAGAAGGGGAGGAGATGCGGAAGAGGGCGGCGGAGCTTGGTGGTAGAGTCCGTCGATCGGTGGAAGATGGTGGCGTGAGGCGGATAGAGTTGGATTCATTTGTTGGTCATATCACTAGATAAATTTAAAATTTGCTTTCCATATGGAAAATAATAGGGTAAATTATTTGTAGTTTTGTCTCGGTGATTGAAGTGGTATTTATGTTTTTCTATAAAAAATATTTATTAATTTATTATTATAAAATAAAATAGTTTAATTTTTTTTAATTTATTATTAATTTAACATTAATATAAATTATTTATTTAAATATTCAAAATCTATACTACCTTATTAAACAAATTTGATCAAAGTCTTAAAGTCTTAATTTTTGAAATACCAAAAATACCCTTAAACCTATTTTACACGCCTCCTTTTAGGGGTGAACGCGGGTTGGGTTGGGCGGTTTATAACAATTTTACAACCCAACCCAATTATGACGGTTTGGAAAATTTCAACCCAAACCAACCCATTCAAAAGTATAACCCAACCCAACCCTTGCGGGTTGAGGCGGGTTGGGTTGGGTTGGCGGGTTAGTAGTTACATAATTTGACGAATGAAATAATTCATAAATCTTAAGTTTATAGACCATACTATAAAGCGTCCTACTAAAAATGTTGCAATAGGTTTATAGGACGTTTTTTGACGTTTCAACAAGTGTTTTACAATGATCTTTAAATAAAATGTCGTATTAGTTATTTTATAGAAATATTTTGAGAAGTGTCCCGTAAACTCATCTATTTATAGGACACCTATGCTCATATGACATTTTTTCAAGTCGTGTTGTATAATATAACTAATACGATACTTTTTTTAAAACATCATAGAATTTGTTAAGACGTCCAAAATCATCCTATAAAAATATTGGAACTCTTTTAGACAAGACATTTTTCTAATGTAACTCTTTAAAAGCGTCATAGATTGATGGATTCGTCCATCAAATATCTATCAATATCATTCATATTTTCCAACATATCAAATTGTTGTTGCTGCAAAAAAAATCAATAATTTTCCTTATTAATTAGATTATTTGTCATCATTCTTTGATCGTGAATCTCTTTTGGTAACCTATACGTTTAGTTAAAATGAAACAAAATATAATATCAATAAAAAGTATATAAAATTTATACATTATTAATATATATATATATATATATATATATATATATAATTTTATAAAAATTATATATTAGCGGCGGGTTGACGGGTTGGGYTAGCTCAACCCAATTTCAACCCTCCTAATTAGCGGGTGAGCGGTTTGGCGGGGAGACGGGTTGGGTTTAATTGGGTTGTTAGCGGGTTGGGTTGGGCGGGTTTCGTTGGTTCACGGTTTTTTGTTCACCCCTACCTCCTTTACACGCCTCCCTTCCCTTCCCCCAATATGCCTCTTCAATTTACCCAGCTCCCCTCCCCCAAGAACACTCCTCCCTTATCGGCTCCCGAGACGACGATTCACTCCCCAAGATATTCCCTTTAAGAGTCGTCCATCGTCGAATCGTTCCCACCGCCGAATCGTTCCTCAATCGCTTCATAATCGCCTTCAATCGCCTTCGTCGTTTCTAATCGGCTTCACATCTATACTACCTTCAATCGTCGCTTTCAGGTATGAACTGTTTGAGTTTTGTTTTTAGGTTTTGCTTTTGGGTGTTTTGGGTTTTCGCTCTCCATTTTCATCTGTTTCAGTTTTGCTTTTGCGTTTTGGGTTTAGGGCTTCATTCGACCGCCGAATCGTTCCTCAATCGCTTCACAATCGCCTTCAATCGCCTTCAATCGCCTTCGTCGTTTCCAATCGCCTTCACATCTATACTACCTTCAATCGTCGCTTTCAGGTATGAACTACTTGAGTTTTGTTTTTAGGTTTTGTTTTTGGGTTTTGGGTTTATACCCATAAAACTCAAAACAGATGAAACCATTTTTGGCCACTGTTTTTTTAAATTCCAGGTTAGTTTTTTTAAGGTTCCATACCCAGGTCGCCTTTTAGATTACCTAATTAGATTACCCCATACCCAGGTTAGGTTTCTTTTTCTTCTGTATGTGTCATGATGCAGGTGATTCAAGGAGGAGGGTAAAAAGGTTGGAAAGATTCTGTAACTTATTCAGTTATATAAATTTCTAGCTTAGAATGTGTTGAAGGTTTTTGTTAATCTTTTTAGCAAATTATATATCATTTGTCCAGTTTTTCTATTATTTTCTTTTAGAATAACAATAATTATTGTGCCTATAGTCTCCTTAAGACAGTTGATTGGTACCGTTGGATTCGTACATATCTCAGCCGTTCACGAAATGTCCAAATCCCTTCCTTGCTATGTATAACTAAACCGATGAATGTCCAAATCGATTTCAAGGAAATTTGATCCGTGCACTCAGATCACGAAATGATTCTTCTACAGTCTGTTCTTTATTCAGGAGACCAAACAACCCGCAATAAATGCCCCGAGCTAAAGTTCTATTATGTTGCTATTTGTAAATATTGTTTTTTGAGTTCCAGGAAAAATAATTCTTGAACAACTCAAGTAATAGAAACTCTCACGCATACAGGCCTTCTGCCTTCTTTATCCATAGGTCCTAGGATCAGAACCTGGCTCTGCTTCTGTGTTTCAAGATCATTCAAGAAAGCATAATGTGTGTTACTGAGAAAGAATGTATAAACTATGAAGGACCAAGACAAATACCACTAACACCCATAAGCTATAATCTTCAATGCTTACAGAATCTAACCCGTCCTGATATATATATATATATATATATATATATATATAGAGAGAGAGAGATGGGGTTTGTGGATCTGCTCTCTGCTGCTTCTATGCCTGTTCTGAAAGTACTCATAATCACTGCACTTGGTTCATTTCTTGCCATGCATCATATTGATATTCTGGGACAAACTACAAGGAAGCAAGTCAATAATGTAAGTTTCAATTATGCATTCAAGTCTTCTTAATTGCACCCTATATGGTCATGGATTTCATTCAYTTCTTTACCAAAAATGGCTTAATTCATTCAGATTGTCTTCTTTGTTTTCAATCCTGCACTTGTGGCTACCAACCTGGCTACAACARTCACTTATGAAAGCATCGTATCCATGTAAGTTCATTGCTAACTCACTACTTATGATCAGTTATGGATTGAACAGATTCGATCAACTTTAAGGATTGGAATGGATCAAGTGCAGGTGGTTTATGCCTGAAAATAATCTTGCAACATTCATAATCGGATCAGCACTTGGATGGATGYTTATCGTCATTGYTGCACCACCTCAACATCTAAAGGGCCTCATTCTTGGGGCCTGTGCTGCAGGTGCCTACATGATACATCAAGATATATATAACAATTATGATTTTGGATTTATTATGGTCTGATTCTTAATGACAGGAAACCTGGGAAACTTGCCTTTGATTATTATCCCAGCTGTATGCAAAGAGGAAGGTAGTCCTTTYGGAGATCCTGATGTTTGCCATCACTATGCCATGGCTTATGCTTCRCTATCTTTGGCTGTATGGACCTTTTAACTTACACTTTTTCTGTTTTTTGTTTTTATCCTGGCAATGTTTAGCAATATATTTGTTTCAGTGTTAAGCCTTAGCTGAAATATATTTTGAGTAGACGCATTCTTTTTGTAAAATTAGTTTATGTATAGTTTTGTAATTTTGATCATTTTGAATAAAAATTGATTTCGTATACATAACATTGGTACAATTGTAGTACGTTTTTGACATCTTAATTTTTTTTTGATATTTTGAAATTGGATAAATCTTATTGAAGCTTTTACATCCCGCCGCATTGCACGGGTACACAAATAGTACTTATTATTAATATCATATCAAAATAAGTTAATAAATTATTTTTATAAATATAAGTATTGTAAAATAGAAACTTGCATTATTTTTAGTCTTCAACTGTAATATGATTATGTGTCAAAATCCGTTTAACACCGCAAGAGGAGAAAGGGACACGTGTTGGAACCTTGTAAAACCGCAAGGGTAGATATTAGAAATTACGAGATTAATTTGAAATTCATATAAATTTTTCTAGTCTTACCTCATTTTATGACAAAATCAATTTAAATCATATATTAAAAATGTAAAAAATAAGTATTCGTGGAGGAAATTAGTTGGTAGAAGTCCAAAGATCTTATAAAGAAATCCATTGAAATTGTGGAATTTTGCTAAAACATATTGGACGACTTTACAGGCCTTTGATTGATCTTTAAATGCTCAGCAAAAATCCTGGATCCACCACCACAAGTGACTTTTGGTAACATCTTAATTAAAACATGTGCAAGATTTTGTAGAACCATTTACTTGAACATAAAATATATCTATAATAGATCTAATTTACTACAAAACATCAGAAATAATAACTAGAACGTCACACGTCTTCATGAAACTCGTCGGTTGACTTCATGATGTTACTATCCACATAACTTTATATCATTACTCGCTTTAATTTTATACACATACGCTCTTAAGCAAATCTGACAAGCGATTATACGACTTTGCATTTTCATACTGTAACATTTCAAAATTTAGAAAATAACGACTAATTTAAAACTTTTATCGAACATTAAGTTTACTCCAAAAGTAATTCCCAAAGAAGATCAATGAGTTACTTATAAGGAAAAACGAAATTAAAAGTCAGCAAACTTTCAAACCAAACCTCATACAAGTACTAAGGGGCCGTTTACCAAACACTTACCCGGTAAACGCTTACCGGTAAAATTTAACACTATCATTTACTTATCGGGTAAGATTTTAGTCTACCAAAACAGCATTGTATGCAACAATTTACCCGGTAAGCACTTACCCTGGTAAGAGTCGTCGCCCACACTTACCGGGTAAGACTGTTGGTCCTTATCTTGCTCTGACCGGTAATATTCTTGGACTTTCACATATTCATCAGGTAAGGTAATATGATTTGGTAAGCGCTTACCCGGATAAACGTTTGATAAACGGCCCCTAAGTTAAGAATGGTTGTTACTAAAAGCCATTAATGGTCGCTATCTCCAAAGTATAGAAGACGTCCCGAAAATAGTTAATTCATTCTCGTGTCTCTAACTAGCGATGAACTCATCACAATGTCGCTAGTACAATTCCCCAACGAGGACCTGTTACACATGCCAATCAATAAAAAGAGTTAAGCTTAACACTCAATGAGTTCAAGTAGTTTTCATCATTAATATAAAATGGTAAAATTGAAATAATGTTATTTAAATCACAATTTCCATAGTGAAATGTATTAAATATAAAACCAACATATTTCCGAAAAACCATCATTTTTGTGATGAAAACTCACTTTTCGGTAAAATTCAACATTATCGCTTACTTACCGGGTAAGATTTTATTCACTAAAACGCATCGTATGCAACAATTTATCCCGATAAGCGCTAACCATGGTAAGAGTCTCAGTCCTCACTTACCGGGTAAGATTCTTAATTCTTGTCATATTCTTCCGATAAAGTAAAGTAACTTGATAAGCACTTATCTGAGTAAACGTTTAGTAAACGGCACCTTAGATTGCATTCGATGGGAGGATTAGGTTAAGAGACGAAAAATGTAATTTACTCACATATAAAAAACCTTTATTTTTGAGAATAAACGCCATCCGTGGGACTCGAACCCACGACCACGTGGTTAAAAGCCACGCGCTCTACCAACTGAGCTAGAACGGCTTTTGCTATGCTCCTAAACTACTTACTTAAAATAGTATTCTTATTTTTCAAATGTATCATATTTCATTTATTTCTAAAACTATATCACAAACTTTTTAATATGTTTCCTTTATGAAATATAAACTAAAGTTGTTTGCTATTTTTGGTCTTTACTTAATCTTTTAAAAAATAGAATCAATTTAAGGGTGTTTCGGGTATTAAACCATTATGTATCATAGATGTCTGAGTAGATGGACTCCATCTTTGGTGTGCATTGATTTTCTATGTCTTGTTGCCTCCCCTTGGTCTTGTGTGGTGATGTCCTTTGTGTTCCCTTTGGGTTTTGTTTTCTTAGGTCATTTTAGGGTGAGCCTGGTTTAGGCCCCTTCTCCGTCCTTTGTTGTTTTCTCGTTTGCTGCCCAGGCTTGGCCCGTCTGGGACCTCCCCTTGTGGTTGGTTTCTTTCTTTTCTCTCTCGTTATCGAGGTGCCTTGTTTTTCCGGTGGATATGATTCGCCCCGCCCAGTGCGTATTCTGTCCCAGTGTTTTTTGTTTTTTTACTTGATAGGAGGGGTCTCCCCCCTCCATATAAAAAAACAAATAATTACCAATTGATTAGTTAAAATGCTAAACAATGAAAATAAGTAATATATATATATATATATATATATATAGAGAGAGAGAGAGAGAGAAAAAAAAAGAGAGAGACTAAAATGTTAATTTTTTAATATAATATAGGTAATTTTTTTTTTCTTATATCCTTAAGTTTTCTCTAGTCATTTTTTACAGTTCCCTCAGTTATCCAATCCATTTTCACGAAATCCCCCCATTGCTTCGTTTAACTGTCGTTATTCTCGTATCTTGTTACCGTTAGTTCTTACAATCATGCTACAATGATAACGTTGGTCGATGGTTTTGTTAAATATATCTAAATTTCTTGTTTTTTAGTTTAAATATAAATCAGTTCACCTAACGTTAATTTTATATATGTTCAAACCAACTCATCTGAAAAGAGATTATATAAATTAACTAATAGTATGATTTCTTACTCGGCTAACTGAATGGTAAAAAAAAATCTAAATCGAAACTTACATTATTTGGTTAACTGAACCCTTTAACCCACAAACCAGATAACCTAAAACCGTTTTTGGTTTGGTTGAGTTGTTCGGTTTAGGATTTTTTATATCCCTATGGATCCCAGTCACCTATATTTCTAGATCCGCCACTATATATATATATATATATATATATTATGTAGGGAAGGGTTCAAACGAGAACCCCTGTGATTTACGAAAACGCGAGAACAACTCAGTAACCACATATTGTGATAAAAAATAAAATTAAAAGATTTTTAAAATTTAAATTTAAATTAAAAAGATTCAAAAAATTTTAAAATTAAAAGGGTAATAMTGGAAATGATATATTATCTAGAAAACGGTTAGAATCTTTTAAACTTATCATTAAACACAATCAAAATCTTTTAAACYTATCATTATCATCTACAAAACGGTTACGATTACAAGCAACCCTAATCATGTGATATGGGTGTGATAATCATRTGATAGGGGTGTGATAATCACCGTTATACATCACTTGGATTATCGTTTTGGTTGATAAGTTAAAATTTTGGTGTAATCATGTGATAATCATGTGATAATCATCGTTATACATCACTTGGGTTATCGTTTTGGTTGATAAGTTAAA